AGGGAGGGAGGGAGAAGAGGACAACAAACGAGGTGGGGGTGTGACAAACTGTTTCGTCGGAGTTTCACCGACTCATCAGGAGGCTGAGCCCTCAAAACAGTGCTGCCTGCCAGTGCATGGTAAGCCGTAGGCAGAGAGGGACAAAAGGAAGAAGAGTACAAGAAACGAGGGGCTGTGACAAACTGTTTTGTTGGAGTTTCACCTACCGACTAAATCATCAGGCACTGAACTGAACCCTCAACAGTCTGCAGAACCCCCTAACTAACTGATTACACTGTGTAAGTGATCATCCACCCCTTATAACCACGGTTGTGGTTATGCATCAACGACTGCCCGACAACTGATACCCCTGTTGAGGTGGTGGGGACCAGCAACCACCGCCCTCGAGGTACCTGCAGCGAAAATCAAAGCAGACTATCATTCACCCACATCAGATGGAAAAGTCTACACTGTCAGACTGCAGGTTCACATCCCATCACAAGCCTTGAGGGCGGTGGTTGGTGGTCCCCACCAACCAGATGCAAAACACCCACGAAATGAAGAAAGGCCTGTCACAGCCAGAAAAAAAAATACACTCCAGACACGCCACTGGCATATACTTGTATATTTTACATTTCATCCGATTCCAGCAGGATTCGAACTCAAGCTGTTTGCTAACCGTGAAGTCATGTGACGTGTATGTACTACGTACCATTGAGCCGCACGGGCTGTCCAAACATACAACACAGAAAATCAGGCGTATCTTTTTTTTTCTTTTCTTTTTCCCCCCTGAAACGGTTTTCACCTTTTGCGGAAGCAGATGCAAATCCCAGGGTTCCATCCCTAGACCGTACCTGCACCCGTGTACAGTATCGAGAAGACCCCGGTGTGTTTTGAACCCGCAACCTGTGTTTTAGTAGTGACTGTACCTTGTCATAGGGCCCTGTAGTTGTCGGGGTTCGATCTGTAGATGTATCTGCAGATGTGTAGAGGTCGAAACTGCTAACTTCTTCCCCCGAATACAACGTACGGTCATTGTAGCTGTATCTAGACTGAAAGATACATCAAATACAGCAGCTATTATGACCGTACGTTGTATTCCGGGGAAGAAGGTAGGCTAGAGGTGTGTAGGTAAGTCGTAGGTCCAGCTGCGTCGAGTAGGCAGTGCGACAGCATCGAGTAGGCAGTGCGACTGCATCGAATCGGCAGTGCAACGCCGTGCATTCAGCGGTACCGGTCCAGTCAATCGCAGTCCAGTCAAGCAAGTACCGTATGGGACTGTGTGCCCCGACGGCCTGGAGGAAAGGGCCAGACCAGCGACCCACAGAAGTATAAATCAAGAGGCAGCATCAGGCATTCACTGCGTAAGCCATGCGGAAGCACTGTCCCAAGCGACTTGTCCGAGGTGGTCTGCAGAGCGCCCGAGGTCGACGAGGGCTGGAAGGAGTTAGCATAGCCATAGTTAGTGGTTAAGCGGCCATAGCCGCTGTAGGTAGGAGAGAGACGCAAAGAGTGTGTGGGTGTGTGTGGGGTATTCAGGGTGATCCAGAGTTGAGTGTGTGCGAACAGTGGTGTTGGAGACCGTGTCGAGAGTCGGATTGTACAGGCGCTGAAGCGCCGTAGCCTGTTGAAGCAAGTTTACGCCTGAACTGTGTTCTCGAGTTCCATATCTCTGAGCTTTGAGTGGGCACTGTGCGCCAGTGTGAATCACCATCTGTATGCATGTATGTGAAGCGAAGAAGAAAGTGAGTCTGATTGCACCCTTAAAGAAGTCGGGCGATTAAACACTGCCATCAGTGCCATGTCCAAAGTCACAAACACAGAAAATCAGACAACGCTTTGGAAGAAAAATAAACTTAATAAAATAAAATCAGACAACATTTTTCACACTGCCATTGACCATATGATATGTCAAGCTGCACTCACACACCTCCGAAAGAAAAAAACACCAGAACAAAAAAAATAAAAAATTATCAAAAGTACCAAACTTCACTAAATGAAGAGAACTCCATTCCCACCCTCCCCCCACCCCAAAAAAAATAAAATAAATAAAAAAAAAAATAATAATAATAATAATAATAATAGTAAAAAACTCCATAACCAAACTCCGAAAACGTCGAAATTCGCTCACCCGACAGCTCGGTCAGGGGTTTGCCTTGCCACTCCCTTTGTTGACAAACATCTCCATCCAAAAGTGACTTTCGTAGTGTAGAAACAATTTGGGAAAATTGCTGAAAAATGCCCCTGAAAGTTGGGGTATTTCTTCAGATACCCCACTCCCTTCATTGACAAACATCTCCGTCCAAAAGTCACTTTTATATGAAACAAGAGGGGAAATTGCTGAAATGACCCCTGGTCGTCGGCATATTTCATCAGATACTCCTAGACGACATGGGGTTTGCCAAATTGCCACTCCCTTTGTTGACAGACATATATCCATCCAAAAGGCACTTTCGTTGTCAAAACCATTGTTGCACCCCCCGACGGTCAGCGGCCCTCGCCTGGTCGGCTGCCGACCTGCCGACCGATCGGCTGGACGGCACCTACCGCAGGTCAGGGGTCGTCGGCATCCCGCTCAAAAAAAAATCAAAAAAAATTGAGGTCGAGAACCCCCAATAACACATCCAAAACCCCCATAGCGTCCCCCAATACCCCCAATGCCCCTATACACCCCCCCAAACCGCCCCCAACACCCTCATTACCCCCTGCCCCTCCCGAATATCCTCTATACCACCCCTATACCCTCCTATACTCCAACCCCAACCCCCCCATATTCCCCCCCCCCCCCCCCCGGGTTTCTCAGCGGGTTTGGGCTGTACCCAGCAAGCCCGAGACAGCCCCCCACCCAAATTTAAAAAACAAAACAGTGGACGTTTTTTTTTTTTTTTTTTTTTTTTTTACTGGTCGACTGCAATATGGTCGGCGGTCAGGGTCGGCAGTCGGCAGGGATGCAACCCTGGTTAAAACCACAAAAAAAAAAGAAAAAAAAAAACGAAAGGACCACGGCTGGAACTACCCTGCAAGTACCTCCCTCCCTGGCTACCAAATGACATGTCCCCCCTCAAATTGTGGACGAAACGAAGAGATAAAAAGAGTCCAGACAAAATGCAAAGCAAATCAAAATTAAGAATCCAAAGCAAAATTTAGGAACCTACAAGAGGAGGGTAAAATTTCATCCGAATGACACCTCAGGTCTCCTAAACGATTCCCCCGCATACGGAACATCTCCAAGCTCCTGTTCAATTCGCAAAAGCTGCAATAGAGGAAAAAAAAAAAAAAAAAAAAAAAAAATTGACAAGCGCACAAACAGGGCACAGCGCGAGGACGATCAGTGAAAGGACATCAATCAGCGCATTCCAATTTCAAACAGCTGAACAGAGCAATGGAAGGACAAATGAATGGACACAAATCAACGCATTGAACCGGCTGAGATACATCGTCAATAAATGCCACGCCATTGGATATTCGAATGGCATATCCGCTGCTGACCCCTTCATCTTGATCATCTTTCTCATTCAGAACAATCACTTTTTTGAAGTTTTTCCTCTCTTTTTTTTTTCTTCACAATTTATATCAATTTGGATTATTTGGAGTCTTTTTAGACCATTTTGGCATTTTGTGATTTATGCGTGCCATCCTTTCTCAGGGGACATGCCGGTCTCCTCCGTATCGTTCAATATTTACCCAATGTCCCGAAAGACCGCACGGTCATTTTCTGCCACACAATGATCGACATTTTCTTTCATTCTTGCAGAGCCCTGAAAACACCCGATCCCATTCCGACCTCGATCCGTGAAATCGTCTTACGCCATATGTACTGATTTATTTTGGGAGACATGGTTCAAGCCCGGACCTATCAATTTCTTGTGCAAAGAAGAGCCATACTAATACTACGCGCGCGGGACCATCCTTTTCCATATTATTATTAACTAATAATAATAAACCATTAGCACTCTGGCCATCATACTTCGCCTGCGGGTCCCTCACGTTATCGCGCCGCGATTTTCCATGCGAGGCCACCGCTGATAAATCTCATCAATGGCCTTAAATCTTACGGCCTCTGGAAGTTACAATGAGGGGCCCACGCCGGATGTACAGGCCATCCTCCTTTTCCATATTATTATTAACTAATAATAATAAACCATTAGCACTCTGGCCATCATACTTCGCCTGCGGGTCCCTCACGTTATCGCGCCGCAGTTTTCCATGCCGGGCCACCGCTGATAAATCTCATCCTTAAATCTTACGGCCTCTGGAAGTTACAATGAGGGGCCCACGCCGGATGTACAGGCCAAGCACTGATGGTTTAAATAATGGTGACTCAGAAATGGCAGCATCCTTAAAAAGACCCTGTTCATAAATACTCAAAAAGCTAGGTGAGGAAAAAAAAAAAAAAAAAAAAAAGGGAAAGGGCGGGTTTGGTGCACACTAACCCCAACCACAACGCAACCTCATCATGACTGAGAAATGTAACACACACAAACTATCCTTTTTTGAAGTTTTTTCCTTACTCGTCTATACCTCCTAAAAAAGTGTGCAGCAGGCCCATGTCTTTTTTTTTTTTTTTCGGAAAAAAGCTCCATCTATTGGTGGGGAGCAGCACTTGCTGGAAACCGGGTCCAGCATCCCATAGATACAACCATATCCTCACAAATTGGCACAAACTGGGAACCAGGCCCAGCATCCCATAACGAGTACGTTCAGCAGGCCCATGTCACGCCCCCTCACCGGGTGAAAAAAAAGAACCGGGAGGGGGGGGGAGGGGGGCGCACAGGGCTTAACACCAAACCCACCACCTAGTGGTCATACTATTGACTTGGCATCGACTTGCACTCTCAGCCTGTTGACCTGTCAAACCACCGGTACCTAATCATAACTTAAGTTCCAGTGTGTGTAACAAATCCCACAACCTGACGATTGTCACATGATTTGGATCACCCTCGATTCGAACCTTCGACCTGCTGATCAAAATGGTGGAGACTCTTGAGAGTCGTGAGAGTCGTTGAGACCTGCCTAAGTAAGGCTTAGTCAGCTACATTCTTCTCTGAGACTCAATTTGACCTCACACTACCTACCTACCACTACTAAATACTAATTAGTAATTAGTAATCACTTAATTATTAATTATAGTCGTACAGGGAAAACCGCATAGAAGGCAGCCAGAACCGTGTTAGAGTCCAAAGGAGTGCGGTATGGCAAAAACAACTCTACCTTTGCATACCATCCCTCCTTCCTTTTGCGTTCCTGCCCCTGTGTTGTCTTCTCCCGTCTTCTTTGCCCCACGGTGCCGTTATCTTGTGGGCTTTGTGGTCACTTTAAGGGTGTGTTATGTTTCGATGAAGACGGTATGAATACAAAGGTTTTGCCATACTGCCCCCCCATACTACTGACAGCATACTCCCACTAGCTCCATCTTTAAAGCATCGGACCGCATTTACGGTCAGACCCAAATGCATCTGACCGCAATTACGTCCATAAACAAGGTAAAAGGTCCTGGTGTGAGTATGCCCTGAGTGGCAAGCCATGGGCAACAACAGCCACGATGGCAAAACGAAAGAGAGAGAGAGGGTCCTGGAGGGCAAAGACGGAAAGTGATTGTGTGATACCCACAAGATCTGCAATATGTGACCCATCAGAGTGGATTCTCTTTTTTTTTTTTTGGGAGTGCCCAATAACCAGAATTAGGAAATATAAATTTGACCAGGGTTTAGGGTTTAGGCTGGGCCGCCCGGTTCAGCTTGTTTGCCCAAGCTGGCCCGGCCAATCAAGGACCGAAGGAGGTCCCAAAGAAAAAAAAAAAAAAAAAAAGAACAAATCTCAAAAAAAATATGCTATGCACTGGGCTACGAGCCGGGCCGCCTGGGTCACCTTGTTTGACCACGTGGCCCGGCCATGCAAGGACCCGGGAAGGGCCCAGCAAAAAAAAAAAAGAACAAAATAAAAATGTGGAAAAAAACTCTGTGACGCACGAAAATAAACTGAACAACTTTTGCTCCAAGGTCACATCGAATTTTTTACCAAATTTAGAATGAAAAACAATATATATATATCGTTATATGTAATATACATATACATAGTCAAACACAGCTGCCCGGTAAACTGTAGGCAGATAGGGAGAAGAGGACAACAAACGAGGGGCCATGACATACTGTTTCGTCGGAGTTAGTATACATATTTATTACTATTATTATCATTACTATTATTATTATTATTATTATTATTATTATTACTATTATTATACTATTATCATTATTATTATTATTATTATTATTATTATTATTATTATCATCATTTTTTTATTTTAATGGCCTGGCCTGACAAGTGGTCCCCGGCCACTCAGGTAGCCTAATTAATTCAAGATGTTATTGGCCTGCTTAACCAGGGCCAAGGGAAAATCAAGGGAAAACTGAGCGGGCCAAAAAAGAGGCCCCTCTCCCCACCCTCGCCCCTTTACCCCCCAAAAAAAACTTCTGTCCAGGACTGCGCTTGGCCTGGCAAGTGGTTCGGCGAATTCAGCATATAACTCACATACAAAAGACAAAAATAAAAACAGAAAAAGTCCAAAAAACAGAAAAGCATCTCCCCCCCCGAAAAAAAAAAAAAAAAAAGGAGACACTCCATTAAGTATATGAACACAATACGAGGCCTTAATATCACTGCCGGAGGACACAATGTGCAGATACGACCGAAGCAATCTCGCACTTGCTTCAGCATCACAATTCTGCAAAAAGGGCAGAAAAAAAAAACAAATCAAAGCAAAAAAATGAAGCAAAAATGAAGAAGGAGAAGAAGAAGAAGAATAGAAACAGCGGCCATAAACTGCTTATCACACATGCTTCAACAAAGAAGAACCAAAAATCATTCCCCCGGCCTCATTTTTCGATCTAATATGAAATGTTATCCTCCCCCCCGAGAAAAAAAAAAAACAACAGAAGCACAGCCGGGTAGGGCTTGGGTGCACAGAAGGGTAAGCAGTACTCTTAAGCACCGAGCAGCCATACCTGATTGTACTTTGAAAGCCGTTCGCTTCTGCACGGTGCACCGGTCTTAATCTGCAGAAACAACCGCATGAAATCGACTCAGATTATTGAAATAATAATATATGACCCTTGTTCCAAGAGTAAATAGCACGAGATACATCTTATATAATATTAATACATATGAAAAAAATTTACACAAAGATTTAATAGCCATGGTTCACTTTTAAATACTTCACGACCTACTACGGTAGCCCACCGCATACACGGCGTAGACCACGACGAGAAACACAACCCCCGCCCAAAAAAAAAAATCGCCAACCTCAGGGATAGTTGGTTCCTCATCAGGCGCAGGCAGCACGTCAGTGGCTGGGTGGGTTGATACAAACCGCTGATGCACAGACCTGAGTTCGATTCGTCCATTTTTTTTATCATTGTGGCGATGCACCAAGGCAAATATATATATCGTCAAATAGAACTGCCCGGTAAACCGTAGGCAGAGAGGGAGAAGGAGAAGAGGACAACAAACGAGGGGCTGTGACAAACTGTTTCGTCGGAGTTTCACCGACTCATCATATATATCATCACAAACAGAACTGCCCGGTAACCCGTAGGCAGA